ACGCGACGTCACCAAATATCTTTCGGACGGTGTTTTCACGAACTCCACCCGATAACCCCTTCTGACAATATCCAGAATGAAGGGGCTGGTGACCACCGCTTCCCACTGCGGGAGGAAGGCCGCCAATCTTCCTCCCACAGGAAGCACCGAGTCAGTGTGTCTTCCGGGGCTGCTCAGGAGGGCGAAAAATCGCTCCTCCCCTGCCCCGACCTCTCTGTCCTGTAGGCCTACCCTGGCCCACCGATCTAAGGCTCAGTCTCCTTAATGGACGGGCCCTACATGTCCCTCCCTCCGCTAACTTCCTTTTGAGGGGAAAAGATTTTTTTCTTGTCTGCCGTTCGGTCCAGCGATTCCTCCAACCCTGGGCCGAAGAGACAATCTCCTGTGAGAGGGATACCGCACAGTCTGACTTTGGAAGTGATGTCCCCTTGCCATGTCTTTAACCATAGTGCCCTCCTAGCTCAATTGGTGAGAGCCGCAGACCTAGCCCCCAACCTCACCGACTCAGCAGATGCATCCGCAATATAACCTACCCCCTGCAGAAGGGTCTCAAAAGAGGCCAGGATCTTCTCTTTGGGGGAGTCCGCCACTATATGAGCCTGCAACTGAGTAAGCCAGTACTCCAAATTTCTGGCTACCACTGTCGAAGCCATGGCTGGTTTCAGATTATACAAGGTAGAGTCCCAGCTTTTCTAAGAAGGGATTCCGCTCTCCTATCCAGCAAATCTGGTAGGACCCCCATGTCCTCAAACGCCAGGTCAGTCCTCCTAGTCATTTGGGAGAAAGCTGCGTCTAGTTTGGGGTTCTTGTTCCACACTGCAGCGGGATCCTCACTAAATGGAAACCGTCTTTTTAACGATTTAGAAAAGAACGGCTTTCTCTCTGGGTCCTGCCATTCCTTCTTAATAGTCTCGATTAAGACGTCATGTACCGGGAAGAAGATTCTGTAACTATGCTCCTCCAACCCTTGATACATCTGGTCATGGAGAGATAGGGTCTTAACCTCCTCCTTTATGTCCAGGGTCTCATAAATTGCCCCCAAGAGCTCATCCACCTCCTCTAAGGACAATTTATACCGGGAGGGACCCCTACTTCCCTCCGAGGGACCCTCCCCTGCAGACTCCTCCTCTGACCGGGAATCCCCCAATGGTTCCCCCTCATCCCTAGCCACGAGAGGCTCCATGCTGCGACTTAAGGTCGCTGGGGGGGGGGGAAGCGTAGACTAGGGAAGCGCAAACCGCTCCATGAGCGATTTAAAGGAGTCAACGGTGCTAGTCAGATCCTTTACCGATCTAGCTAAGTCCCCCTGCTCAGGCCTGTCTTCCCTCACCAACCCCTCTATGCATGGGCCACATAGCACCTTCCTCCAGGATTCTCTTAACACTTCCTTGCAGGACAGGCATCTCCGTTTGGGCTCTTGGTGTTTTGTCTTAGCCCGAGCTTGCCCTGAAAAACATAAAGGGGCAGGGGGGAGTCACCATACTACCCAGTATCCTCTTCCCTGGCAGAGCCTAAGGGCCTGCACCCACGCAGACCCCCTGCCCTTACCCTACCGGGAATGCCTCTGGAGCTAGGGGGTAACAGATAGGGGAGGCCTCCACTGAGGCACCTTACCTGCAGCTGGCTGGTGCTGGCGTCTCCTGGTCCCGGTGCCTCCGACATCGCGCTCCGGGAGGGTGGTCGCTTGGTGCAGGCCTGTCCCCCAGGCTACTATGCACCGCACCGCCTTTTAAATTTTGCGCGCCGTGGATAGGGGCCGCGACCGGAAGTCGCGGCCCGGGGTGAAGCCCCCCCCTTCCACCGGAACTCACCGTCTCCCGGCGTCCGGCCCAGCAAAACAAGCCTGCCAGCATGGGAAGGAGCGAGACTTCACCCCGATCCTCACCAGACCGTACCACAGCCACCCCAACTCGCCGGAGGGGGTCGGGGGGCAAAGTGCAGGTACGCGCCAAGCCCAGTCACCCGGGGTGCGCGCCCTCTGCCACACAGCCTGCCCAGGGAGGATGAGCAGCCGGACCCTCCGGCCTTCACTCCCGGCTGCGTTAGGCCTGACAACCGGCTATCCGGCCCTAGGCCCCCCTGCCATCTGGGTGACAGCACCTTGAGCTTCCTCGTGTCTCCCCACCGGAGGAAACACCTGAACTGAGGTCGGAGGGGAGTGGAGTGGAGGTCTTTTTATTTTAGGGTGGAGGTGTTTCCTCAGATGGGGAGGAGCCGAGGTCTCTCAAGGTGCTGGCCTGAAAGACGTAAGGGGAAAAATAGAAATCCGACTTAATTTTATGTTCTGTAGCTGACCAGTTTGAATTTGATGAACTGTTCTCTTCCACATGCCATTTTATGCCCTCAATGCATCAAACTAAAGTATTCACCTTCAATTTAGAATTACAGTAAATGTTTTTTTATTGGTTTGGTCTGGAAAGTATTAATCCTGCCCATTTATATAATTGGTAATGTTCTGAGAGAGAAAAGAAGGCTATTGCTCATTAGTGGTGAATATGTTTTGCTGTGTTTACAATTCTAGGTAAATCAATTTGAACACAAAATTATTCAATCTTAAAGTGATATGTCGCAGGTTACTATATTACTGTATTACTATATTACTGTTTATTTTCAAAAGAACAAGCTCTCTTGCAGATGTAGCTGCTAGATGGTTGAGACAAACTTTCCACCACTCACAAGGGTGCTTACAATGATCTGCTTTTATATATGTAAAACTTCTATCCCCAGAGGGAAAAATAAAAAACTCTGTAACTGCTCTTAAAGTGTATCTAAATCTGAAAATACATCTAAAACACTCTCTGAACACCCCCTCCCCAAAGTTTAACACTGCTGCTGTCCTAAGGTGCCCCTGCGCTCCTTCTTCCATACCCTAATACAGGAGGCGTGTTAGTGGTCAGATAAGCAGGTGAAAAAAAGCCCAAAATAAGAAAAGGAATGCAGCCACCACATCTAATGACTGGTAATCTGCAGTATGTTACATTTTTGGTTTGCATTAACTCTAATCAGGGACATTGGCTAAGATGGTTACAATAGCTACTGTACACTTAAAGTGTTGTACAAGCTCACCAGTTTTTTGATACTTTATGCTAACAAAAAATCTTGTCGTTTTACACAGGTTTTCCAATGCACTGGAATATCACTTCATCAGCATTCCCTTATTTTCTTAAGAAATAATAAGATCAATAAATGTTACTACATTGATCCACCAGCGGAATATGAACACCATGACTTTTAATTTTGAGGTTTTAAATTACAAGAAAATGTCTTACCTGCCATTGTTCTCAGCATGACACCTGCCTTTTGTATTTCCACCAAAAATCAGTACTAATGTCCTTGAAGTAAAGTCACCTCCCAAACAAATTGACTAACTGTGGCTAGATATGCACACACATGGAATACATACTTATTCAAAGAACATCTGAATAAAAAAAACAAACAAACGTCTCCATGTGTGCATACAATCTGTCTTAGAGGTTCCCTTTGGTACTTATGAAATAGTATATTTGTTGCATGAATAATAAATGCCTAGCATATACATGTAAATTCCCTTATAATGGTAACATCTTGCTCTTGAACATTGCTTCTAGAAAGCACACACCATCTATACATGCTGGAGTTAGGCACATGTTTGCTAAAACATATATTTGAGTATACTTTTAAAAGGAATATTTTCTTTAGCAAACTACTTTTCTTTTTTGATGTTTAGGAGTGTTTACATTCAGGAATGGATGCTGCTGTAGGACATCCTCAGCAGCTGGTCCATTTACACTACTGAAAGTTCGTTCACTAAAATGCTTGAAAGAAAAAAAAAAAAAAATTATATACACTACTGAATATATATATATATATATATATATATATATATATATACACATATATATACATATGTATATATATACATATGTATATATATATGTGTATATACATATATATACACATATACACATGTATATGTGTATATATATATGTATATATACCCATATATATACACATATACATATGTGTATATGTGTATATATACACATATACACATACATGTATATATATACACATATACATGTATGTGTATATGTGTATATATATACATATATATACACACATATACACATACATACACATATATATATATATATATATATATATATATATATATATATACACACACACACACACACACACACACACACACACACACTTAAACGCTGAGAAATGGCATATTGTGAACTTGGCTTCTTAGGCATTTTATTAAAGCCGAACTCCAACAAAACTTTTTTTCTTTTTTTTTTAAGTGGGTAAGAATTTATGTTCTGTTTTTATTCTAGGTCATGTCCTTCCTGAGTAGATCTTCCACATCACTTCCTGTTATGCCTGGAGAAGTGTGTTGATCTCAAAAGGAACAGAAAAAGCATAGCCTGTAACAAAAAAAATGTCAGTTGTAACCTCTTCTTACTATTATTAAATGTTTTTGTAGTGTGTCCTGACAATAAGTGATGGGACGTCTCCTGAATAGGGGCATAGACTATAATAAAATCCCGACCAAGTCTCTACTCATGTTACCCAAAATAAAACAAAACATTTTGGCTGGAGTTGTTTTAAGTGCAAGTAAAGCTGCATTAACCCTTAAAACCCATAACCCCATAAACAAACTGGAAAATGAATACATGATAGAACAAGATAAAGCACATTACATCCATGTATTGTAGAAACCAGGGTATCATTGTAATTCCCTTTTGATATGATATAGATATGTATTAGAGGAATTTCCAGTACAGGGCTGTTGTATAAATGGACCTTAAAACAACAAATAAAAACGGTTACCAGACATTTTAAACAGAATATTTTTCAACATTATTAGGTTAAATAATTGCTTTAGGCACCACAGTGTCTCTCCCAGTTTTGGACTTAAAATAGGTATGTAGCTTATGATCTAGATCTCCTGGCAAGTTACTCTCAATCAGGCAGTAAGGCCAGAAAGATTCAGTCTAAGGAATAATGAACAGTCATGGGTCTTCTGAGCCAAGAAATAAAAGTATTTCATGACAAAAAATGAAGGTGAAGAAGTAAACACAGAGGTCTGTAAACACATCTGCCATCTTGCTGTATGTATCCAGTGAGCGACTGATCACTTCAGATGGAATCCCAGACAATAAAAGAGCAGCAGTGAGGACAGTTGTCTTTGTTTTTTTCTCCCCCTAAAAACAAAACAAATTAAAATTATTACAGTCAGCATATGACATCCCATGAAGCTTCACTTTAAACCTTTTCTACCACACTGACAAAAAAACAAAACAAACAAAAAAAAACACAACAGTTCAGAATTTTGGACTGGTTTCAATAAAATATATAACACAGCAAGCTAAAATAAATGTATAAGAATAAACATTATATATCAGCAGTAGAAACACAGGTGTGGGTAATCTTAAAAGGGTAACATTAAAAGCAGTGAATGTAACATAACATTCACTGTCAGTGAATCAATCACTGCATCTATAAGATTCAACTGGAGTGAATGTTTGGTAAATATCAGATTCACTGCTTTATAAATATGCCTTTTGGTTAGAGCAGAGAAAATCCAAACTATCCTGGGGCTCTGTTGGAGAGATTCCATAATTTCCTGTCTGGTAAGAAAAAAAAAAAATCTGACAGGAAGTAACATGGAAATCACTTAAAGAGCAACACAGAGAAAAGTAAAAAACATAGAATTTTGACTCACCCACAAACTCCTTATCTTGGAGTACAGTACATTACTGTTGCACACAGAACTTAGGTTACAGTGCCATGAGAAAGTATTCATACCCCTTGAAATTTTCCACACTTTGTCATGTTACATCCAAAAATGTAAATCTATTTTATGTGCTAGACCTACACAAAGAGACACATAATTATGAAGTGGAAGGAAAATGATAAATGGTTTTCAAACTTTTTTCCAAATAAATATCAGAAAAGTGTGGCATGCATCTGTATTTATCCCTCTTTACTCTGATACCCCTAACTAAAATCTAGTGGAACCAATTGGCTTCAGAAATCTAATTAGTAAATAGAGTCCACTTGTGTGTAATTTAATCTCAGTATAAATACAGCTGTTCTGTGAAGCACTCAGGAGGTTAGTTAGAGAACATTAGCAAACAAACAGCATCATGAGGGCCAAGGAACACACCAGACAGGTCAGGGATAAAGTTGTGAAGAAGTTTAAAGCAGGGTTAGGTTATAAAATAATATCCCAAGTTTTGAACATCTCCTGGAGCCTTGTTCAATCCATCATCCAAAAACGGAAAGCGTATGGCACAATTGCAAACCTACCAAGACATGGCCGTCCATCTAAACTGACAGGCCGGGCAAGGAGAGCATTAATCAGAGAAGCAGCCAAAAGGCCCATGATAACTCTGGAGGAGCTGCAGAGATCCACAGCTCAGGTGGGAGAATCTGTCCACAGGACAACTATTAGTCATGCACTCCACAAATCTGGCCTTTATGGAAGAGTGGTAAGAAGAAAGCCATAATAAAGTCCCGTAGGGGAGACACAGCAAAACATATGGAAGAAGGTACTCTGATCAGATGAGACCAAAATTGAACTTTTTTGGCTTAAAAGCAAAATGCTATGTGTGGCGGAAAACTAACACTGCACATCACCCTGAACACACCATGCCCACTGTGAAACATGGTGGTGGCAGCATCACATTGTGGGGATGATTTTCTTTAGTAGGGACAGGAAAGAGTTGATGTAGCCAAATACAGGGCAATCTTAGAAGAAAACCTGTTAGAATCTGCAAAGACTTGAGACTGGGGTGGATGTTGACCTTCCAGCAGGACAATGACCCTAAACATACAGACAGAGCTACAATGGAATGGTTTACATCAAAGCATGTTCATATGTCAGAATGGCCAGGTCAAAGTCCAGACCTAAATCCAATCGAGAATCTGTGGCAAGATTTGAAATTTGCTGTTCACAGACGCTCTCTCCAACCAATCTGACAGCTTGAACTATTTTGCAAAGAAAAAGGTGCAAAAATGTCACTCTAGACGTGCAAAACTGGTAAAGACATCCCCAAAAAGACTTGCAGCTCTAATTGCAGCGAAAAGTGGTTGTACAAAGTATTGACTTGAGGGGCTGAATATAAAAGCACACCACACTTTCCACCAATTTATTTGCAAAAAAATGTTGAAAACCATTTATCATTTTCCTTCCACTTGACAATTATGTGCCACTTTGTGTTGGTATATCATATAAAATCCCAATAAAATACATTTACGGTTGTAACATGACAAAATGTGGAAAATGTCAAGGGGTATGAATACTTTTTCAAGGCACTGTACATGCTGCTACTTTCAGGTTACTGAACAATAGCAAAAACAACAGAAAATATCCATTTAATCTGCCCGGTCCGGGAGTTTTTTTTTTTTTTTTTTTTTTATTTAATCAAGCTATAGGCAGTGATCAAGGCACAAGGCAAGCCAAAATTCTTGTTATTCTAGTTGTACAACACAGTAATGGTATTCATAGGCGATGAAACATGCCAAAGCAAAAAACTGAGGGGTGGGCAACAACATAGCAACTGAGAACTTCCAACAAGCCCACAGAGAAAAACAAGGGTTTAAGAACATCCAAAATACTCAGCTGATGCAAGCTTCAACCACAAGTTGTTTCAAGCTATTATCTGAGGACTGAACATCAGTGGCATATCATCCAAGTGTGTGGTGTGCATGGGCCCCGAGGGAAGAGGGCCCACTGTTCTGTGACCCATACTGAACCAAGAAAGGAAACAAATCTCAGACATTGCAGCTGCACCTGTCACTGCCTGACCCCCGTCACAGGATCCTATGACTCACAGTCAAATGCAGAACCTTTTGCTATCCAGGAGCTGCACATCACTGTCAAGGAAAGGGTTCGGCCTCACTAGGTGGTGGGGTGCTGAAGTCATCTTAACCACGGAGAGCTCAGGAGAAAGGAAATCTTCCATGTCTGAGATCTGTGAATTTAGGGAGGAGGTTATTGTGTAGACTGTGACAGAGTGACCTGGGAGGGTGTAATGATTGTAGTGGAGAGCAAACTGACCTGGGGGGTGACTGTATTGGTAAAAGACATGACGGAAGGGGTTCCTTCCTCTTCCGAATTGCGTGGATGGAGGAATCTGTTAGTTTATTTTGTTCAGCCCTCTTGCTAGACAAGAACAGACTAACCATCGATGACCAGTTTAACAGATCCTATACTATATTATACATTACAGACTCTGCTCTACATAAGCTATATTGTACATTACAAACTCATGCACCATGAGATATATATTTACTGTACATTAGACTGCTGCACTACATACTGTATGATATATTGTACATAAGACTCCTGCATTATATTTGCTATAGTGTACATAATCCTGCACTATATACACTATATTGTAGATTACATACTTGGGAAAAGTGTCTCAGCAGTTGCTGGTTGCGAAGCAGTTTCTGAATATTATAGCGAAGTTCTTCTGTAAGATAGGCTCAGACAGAACACCAGGTTGAAATCCTAGACATAGAAGATCGAACTGGGGAAATGACATTAGCAACTCTCTGCAGAGAAATCCTAATAAGGTAATGTGAGGCAAGGAGTTTCTGGAAAAAGGATGGTTAGGAGAGATTTCAGTCCCTTGAGGGTGGCCAAGAGCAGACTGAAGGAAGGTCCATGGAAAGAGGCCCTTTTATGTGCAATAATAAATCTTGCAAGAGTTGGATTCCCTTGCTTTGAGTAAGATGGGAATAACCAAGCCAGAGATACCCCTATTCCTTAGAACTTGGGTTTCCACAGCCATGCCGAGGAAGGAACAGGAAGCTTTGTACCAGTAAGTCTGTATTTTTTTTGGAAAAGTCCAAGTCTCATCTACCAGTAAGTTAGTGTACCAAGTTCCGTTGGTCCAATTTGGTGCAATAATTATCATCGGAAATCACTGGAACCCTTCCCTACTCTATCTTGTACAGCAGTCTAGGGAGTATCATCAAGGTTGGAAGCAGTTAGAATGAGGTCCAAGGAATCACCAAAGCATCTACCACAAAGGCTAGATGATCCCTGGCCTTGGCTAAAAGTTGTTCAGCTTGTTGTTGAATCTGGATATCAGGATGTCCATATATGATTTTCCCCATCTCTGACAGATTTTGAAAGATCTCTGTGGGCAGAGCTCATTCCCCCAGGTCTGCCAATTTTACACTCCTGTAATGGGGACTTCCATGTCATGAGAGCTGGAATGTAAGTTTATGCCCATGAGAATATTAGAATTGCTTCTTTTAGGGCTACTGCTGTGATATTCTCTGATTGTACTCCTACAATGGATGCACCAAAACATATCAGCCGGAAATAGCCCCATGTGCATTGTGCCGATATGAAAAATTTAGCCGATACAGGGGACTGTGTGTACTGCAGATGTGGGGTGGGGGTGAAAGGCAAAGCAGGAGAGGAGCAGTGTATACAGGGATTGGCTGTCACTATATGTCAGTGCCTGTTTTTCAATGTAATTACCGGCTTTTTTTTCTTCACTATAGCTCAGAGAATCAGCTATCACTTTTTCCCCAGCTAAAAGAAACAAAGTTTCCTTTTAGTTAATTTCCCCGAGTTAAAAGTAAGAATGTTTCCGGTTTGCTTTTAGTTTCTTTGCCGAGATAAAAAACAAGTTTCCTTTAGCTCGGGGGAAAGTGACAGCTAATTCTGTGAGCTATAGTGAAGGAAAAAAAAAAAAAAAAAAAAGCAGTCAGTTGCATTTAAAGATCGGCAGCAACATATAGTGACAGCCAATGAGAGAACCTCTCTGTATACACTGCTCCTCTCCTGCCCCATCCACTGTTCCTCTCCCCACCCCCTCCCCCCCACAAAGAGGACCTGTCACTCATATGCTATCATATAGGGGACTAATGGTCCCCTATGATATAGCAATAAAATCATGTTTAAAAAATAAATAAAATGTACATGAAATTAGAAAAATAAAAAAAATAGAAAATGGAGCCTCCCCAACCACACATACGCAGACATTTCGGTTTTGTTCGGTTTTCGGCCACATGCATTCTAAATTTTCGGTATCGGTTTTCGGCACCAGAATTTTCATTTTGGTGCACCACTAACTGACTGCTAAAAGGGAGGTCCAATGTTGCAGAGACAGTTTGACAGGTACCTCGTGAGTCCTGTGGGAACAATGTTCTCAACAATCATTGAGCAAAATCTTCC